GGCCAATCCCAGAAGCACCGGGCTCCTGGCCAATCCCAGAAACACCGGGCTCCTGGCCAAACTCCTCGCTGTCGGAAGGCACCGAAGGCTGCACCAGAGGGGAAGGGCCGGGAGAGAGAGGCCTAGCCATCTCCTCTCCGTCATGTTCAGAGCCTTCCTCCTCTGATGAGAGGGACCCACCGGACGGAGCCACAACACTCCCATCGCCCTCTCTCCTTCCCCTCGTATGCTCTGGCCGCCTGGCTGTCTGGACTGGCAAGGCGCTGGTCCGTAGGTGTGAGTTGCTGCACCGGGGTTCTTCCGTTGGACCGGCAAGACGCTGGTCCGTGGGTGTCGCCCGCTACGAGTCCTCCCGGCCGGGAGTGCTCCACAGCACGGCGCCAAAACCTCGGCGTCTGTCGGGCCCGTGTCAATCTGGCCTGCGCCCGTCAGCTGAGAGAAGGCTTGGTGGGAAAAGCAGCAGCAGGGCAGTCAGGCCCCCCCCTGCTGGCATGTGTCGACCCCGTGGGGTGTTCATTGACGGTCTGCGGGGCGTCGGCGGCACAGTAGCTAGCGTCCCAGCCGCCCGTACATGTTGGCCTTGCGGGGCTCGACAGTGATCATGTGACCACAGGATGCTGGCAACCATCATAGATGAGCATTGATTGCCAAGCATCCAAATTCATGTCCCAAAGGTGTTTTTCCAAAAGACAACTGGGCTTTCTTGGAGTTTTTTTTCTTTGAGAAGTAAAACATTTTCAAAGAAAAAACCCAGGGAAGTCCAGTTGCCTTTTGGAAAAGCACCTTTGGGACAACCATGACCTGGATGCTTGAGAATTGACTCACCCATGACATTTTAAATGTTATTTTAATGCCACTATTGTAAAGATGCATACGTTATTATCTTATGCTGCTATTTGCATGTGTTTTATGTATGCACACAGGTGTGTTGTATAGTGCTTTGTAATATTGTAAGGTGCCTAGAGAAGGTGATGGTTTTAAAGGCACAAGAGAAATATTTCACAGAATGATTGAAAAACAGGATTTGGTTTAAAGTCTGTTTGTGTGATGCTTTGACCAGAAGAGGGCAGCACTTAAATTGTTTTGGGACATGACCAGACTGCCATTTTAAAGTACCGTACTTTCCTTTACTCTGCATGTGATAGCAAAACAGTATGGCAGCATAAATTGCCCTGCCCTCCTTGACAAGGCCTATTCTGCTTCAGTAATTAATTGGCTGAGTTGTGTTTATTTTAATGTGGAAACCAATTCAATAAAGTAATTGGTGGATTCCCTTTTCTTTGTTTCCCCTTGCACCATGTCATCTCTAATAGCAAAAATAACCAGCAATTGCTCTCCTTAATGTATAATGGAGTAGGCTGGGCTAGTGCAGATTGGTGCTTATAAAGTAGGTGGTATAATCACCTCTAAAATTGTCTAACAAGTTGCAGCTGAGAAATGCTCTGTGCCTGTTACCCATTAGTTGGGCTGCTTCTGAACATGAATCTAGCACTTTTCTGAGGAAGCACTAAACCCATGTCCAAAAGTAGCTTGATAGGTCACAGATGCTAAGGAGAGGGGGGTGTGGCAAAGTGGGAGAGAACAATAAATAAAGAGCAAACCCTGTCTTCTAGTGGCATTGAGCAAGTGGAGTGTCATGCCCAAAGAACCAAGAACTTCTGAGTAGTTTTATTGTTGTTTGCCTACAGGTAGAATCTTGCTGGACTAAAGCAACTATCTGCATAACTATAGATATACTCTGTAAACTGCTAGGGAGTTTACAGAGTCCTTGCCTTCTTCCTGCCCACCAGACATTCTCAGCTCCTCTGTCTCTTTGCTCTCTGCAAAGGAGCCCCTACCTCCCAGAACTCCAGACAACATTCCATCATATGGAGTGACCAGTGGTGGGATTCAAATACCTGAACATCCGGTTCTCTGCGTGGATGCAGGCCTGGGCCTCCGAGGCCTAGAACTGACTTCCAGAAGCAGCATGGGTTCAGCCGGTTCTCCGAACTCAACACAATTCAGCTACCGGTTCTACTGAACCGGTGCAAACCGGCTGAATCCCACCACTGGGAGTGACCGAATTCAGGTGTAGCTGGGGAGGAGGCAAAATGGCATATACAAAGGGGTGTTCTCCTCCTTCGAAATTCCTTGATGGCAGAAGCAGCAAAAGCCTGTGGTTACTAATTCTTGATGGAACCAGCAACGTACTGTATATCTGGCAAACTTTGGATCTTATTCCTGGTTGAAACTGACTTTCTGAGTAGCACAGTTATCACCTTCTCTAGTTTTGTTTTTTAAACACAGGTCTATGGCTCTTTCAAAACAGTACCAGGTATGTCAAGAGCCTATGTAAGATCCACCGAGCTCCAGAAGGTTCCAGTCAGCCTAATAAGAGCAAATACCTCTGTAGAAGCCAAGTGTGATTATTCCAGACAGCCCAGGGCAAGGTCATTTCAGTTTGGGGTCATTTCAGGGGGTAGGGGTACTCCAGTAGCCTAAAGTTGGTAACTGTGGTGGAATTTCCAGGTAGGCTGGTGGGTGGTGTTAAGAGGGGCTGAGTTTGGAGTCATTGCACTGCAGGAAGTGGCACAGACGTGACCGTCCCCAGAATCCTTGAGGCCTTATCTTGGTGTTCCCAGGGAATGGAGTCAGTCTGGCAAGATTTTTGTAACATAGTTGACTTAGCAATAAAACTGCTGCTAAGACTCTTCCCGAGTGGTTCTAGTTGCTTTTGCCTGACACTAACAGGAGCTGGGACATTTATCACATCATCAGTGAAGCACACTATCAGATCATGTCCACAGCAGGAATTATATTTTAATTGTATTAATTGTAAAACTATATTTTAAAACTGGAGCATCTAATTTGGAGCAACTATAAAGTGAACTATAGTATCAAAGCAGTTTCATGTGGACATGTGATAAAAAATTGTTAACAGGGCACAATGATGCTGTATAGGTTATCCTCAACTTACAACAGTTCATTTAGTGACCTTTCAAAGTTACGACGACAGTGAAAAAAGTGACTTATGACCGTTTTTCACAGTTACGACTTTTGGAGCATCTCCATGGTCCTGTGAGGCAGATGAGCAAGAGGTCAGAGTGATTTTAAACATTTGAACATTTATGTTCTGTTTCGCGCGTTGGTAGGCATTGAAGGAGGCAGAGTAACAAACAGGTACTTCTTTATTCAGGCTTAAACAGAACTCTCTACAAAATGGCTCCGCCCTTTTTATACATTCACCCTGGGGTGTCAGCCAATGAATGCAACGTATTTTCCCGCTCAAACGCATGCTCAGTAACTCGGAGACAGCCTGTCTGGCTCAGCAGGCCACGTGGTCTGCCAAGGTCTCAGTGCAGCTCCCTGCACCTGCTTCATCAATCAAGCTCAGGACATAACACCCCTCCCCTCCTGGTTCCAAAGGAGATACTTACTATTTTACAATACTACATGCATTCTCACAACGTTCATTTAAACAATCAATAATGCACAACATTATAGGTCTTTCCACTTATCAAAATAATAATATTAAATGAACCCCCTTACAAGGAACATATACAACATTCCCCATACATCACATCATAGCACAAAATAAGTCAGTTCCAAAAAGACATACACAAGCTTTTCAATTGCAATAAAATACAAAAGCATTTTATGGTTGCAAAGACAGAAACCTCACGTAGTCCTTTAAGAACTTCGGTGGGCCTTTTGCCCGCTCCGATCGTCTCGGAGCTGCTGCAAGCACCCGATCTGCAAGCTCGCCTGCCAGGCTCAGCAGACCGGGACTTTGAGACCTGTTCGATACGGGTGAAACCGGATCGTGAAGGCTGGCCTGTTCCGGTAGACCCAAGCCTTTGTCCATTTGACTTTGGTTGGCCCGTTCCGGAAGGCCCAAACCAGAGTTCCTTGATGGGGTGGAATTCCCCGGATCGGCGTAAACAGCCGGCTGGGAGCACTGTCCTGTTGGCGCAAGGCCTGAGGTAGATGCGGCGTGAAAAGCCGATTGAGCGCAATGTCCCATGGACGCAGTGCCCGAGTTAGGAGCCACCTCGTTGGCAAAAACCCCGTTTGGTGAATGCAATGTCCCGCTTTCGCTGAGAGACTGAGATTCACGATCGCGATCGTGGTCCTCCTCCCCCCCGAGAGCAGAGTCAGGAGCAGAAGGGTGGCTATGTAACCTCCAACGCAGCTGGTCAATGTGCCTGCGCAGCACACGACCATCTTCCAATGCCACTTCGTAAGAAAGTGGCCCGGTAACTTTGCAGACCACCGCTACCACCCAAAGGTGCCCAGGTCCATAGTTCCGTGCCCAAACTGGATCACCCACTTGCAATTGCCTCAGTGCCCTCGGCTGTGGCACCTGTGATGCAACCCGATCTGGGTGTAATCTATCTAGCTTGGTGATAAGACGGAGACCCCAGCGGAGCTCAGCTGGGCTCTTGCCCGTAGACGTGCATGGTGTAGTGCGGTGGCAGAGGAGGAAGTCTGCCAACCTGTGATGCCAGTTTCCATGGGTGAGCCGTTTCAAGGCTTCTTTTGTAGTGCGAACCATGCGTTCCGCTTGGCCATTTGAGGCCGGATGAAAAGGTGCCAAAGTAGCATGCCTAATCATATTCGCCCTCAGAAAGGACTGGAACTCCGAGGAGGTAAATTGAGGTCCGTTGTCGGAGACGACGACATCTGGAAGCCTGTGAGAGGCGAAAATCCCCCTCAAAACCTGGATGGTCCTGGCAGTCGTCATAGTGGACACTGGAACGATCTCCAGCCATTTGGAGTGACTGTCCACCACAATGAGGAAGAGCTGCCCCTGAAAGGGGCCAGCGTAGTTGATATGAACCCTCAACCAAGGAGCATGTGTGGTCGCCCATCTATGAACGGGAGCCTGTGGCATTTCGGGCCTGGACTGCTGGCAAATGTCCTTGGTGGCCTGGGCTCGATAAAGAGATCGAGGCCCAGGTCCATGGGTGCACTGTGTGCCAACAGTCCAGGCCTGAAATGCCTCAGGCCCCTGTACATAGGTGGGAGGAGACATAAGCCCCTTGGTTGAGGGTTCATATCGACTACACTGGGCCCTTTCAGGGGCAATTCTTCCTTCTCCTCGTGGACAGCCATTCCAAGTGGCTAGAGGTCATTCCAGTCTCCTCCACTACTACTGCTAGGACCATCCAGGTGTTGAGAGGGATCTTTGCTGCTCATGGACTTCCAGATGTCCTTGTCTCCGACAACGGACCCCAATTCACTTCTTTTGAGTTTCAGGCTTTTCTACAGGCCAACATGATCCGTCATGCCACGTCTGCACCATTTCATCCAGCTTCCAACGGCCAGGCTGAGCGGATGGCGCGCACCACCAAAGATGCTTTAAAGAGAATTACTCATGGAAACTGGCATCACAGGTTGGCTGACTTTCTCTTCTCACACCGCACCACACCGTGCACAGCCACTGGAAAGAGCCCAGCTGAACTCCGCTGGGGTCGCAGGCTCATTACTAAACTGGAAAGGTTGCACCCAGACCGGGTGGCGTCACAGGCAGTAGGTGGGCAGGCGTACAGTTACTTAGAAATCAGAACGCGCTCAAAAGAACAAGTGTTCAGTTATAGTCATGCATAATAGTAACTATCCTTGTGGGAGAGATAAAGGATTGATAAGGTATTATCTGTGTAATAGTAAAGTATTATGTTTTGAAATAAGAGGGGAGGGGTGTTATGTCCTGGGACTGCTGAGTCATTCAGCAGGTGCAGGAGGCTGCAGAGAGGCCCGGGCAGACACGTGAATGCCCAGGACCAGACAGGCTGTCTCCCGCCTTGTGCACATGCGCAAGGTGGGAGAAATGCCTTGCATTGATTGGCTGTTACTGTCCCTGCAAGGGGGTATAAGAACAATCCGCGCCATTTTGTTTTGGTTCTGTTGTGAATGGATTAAAGACAAGATTGTTTGTTACTCCTGCTCGTCTCAATGCCTATTATTTGTAAACAGAACAGGTACAATCTGCCTTCAGGAAATAATCCCCTGTTGATTATCTCTATAAATGCAATTACTAAAGTGAACTGTTCTCCATAACCAGAGGTTGGAAACTTGTGGTGCTCCTTATTTATTTAGTGGTAAACATACCTAATACTCCTTTCTTCTCCTATTTTTCCCACAACAACCCTGTGAGGTAGGTTGGGCTGAAGGTGACTGGCCCAAAGTCATCCAGCCAGCTTTTGTGCCTGAGGCAGGATTAGAACTCACAGTCTCCTGGTGATTGGTCCAAAGCCATCAGGCCAGCTTTCATGCCTAAAGTGAGATTAGAACTCATCATCCATATTGCTGCATTACATCTTCTGGCAGCTACAAATCAACCTGGTCACTAGTGAGAGATGCTGGAAGCTTGAAATCACTAGGAAAACACCACTCTTAATCTTGTCTTAAATCATGTGGCCTCAGTCATTGCCTCTGTTGAAAGAAAAATCTTCATCAGGTTCCAGTCCAAGCCGGGAATAAACAAAATGGAGACTGCTTTAGAAAGAAGGTTGCAGTTTATTGAAGACGAGAGCCAGACAGAAAGATGGCTCTGGGAAAGCTGACCACATGTAGCAGGGAGTGGTGGGTTTTTATAACTTCTGGGGCTTTTGTTTGGAGTTGTTCCTGTGGCGTGAACTTTGGCCTGAGTCTGAGTGTGCCTTTCTGGTATTCTGATGGTGGTGGGTTAATCCTATTATGTCCCAGGGGTCATATCCTGCTTCCCTGGGGCTGTGGCTGATGATTATGTCCTGTGTTAGGTTTTTTTTTGGTGTGAGGGATTATTGATTCTAGGGATCTTTGTCTTTCTAATCCAAGCTTCCTGGCTCCAATCTTTCTGACAAGATTATCACATTTGCATTTCTGCAGACCTGGTTTCTGTTTGGTTCAGAGAGACTTTGGGGTGGGGGGTTGGTTTCTGCCTTTAAGATCCTTTGGGGAAATATAACATTCTTCCTTTTAATATTTCCCAAAATATTTCTTTCTCTGGGTTCTTCCCACATCTCCATTAAATGAATGGATTCAAATACAGCGTTGATGCATATTTTAAAACATAGTTTACTAAATAGAACCCAATTGGTTCTGTTCTCACCACACAGTAAGAGAGGGATTGACAACTTAGCTTCTGCAGACAACAGTCTCAAATCAGATGCCTCCATTGATCCCCACCATATTTTGTGTCCACCTGACCATTGTTTTGAAAGATCTTAGAGCAAAACCTTAACCACTGTATCATGCTATGAACCCAAGTAGTTATGTAATGCACCTGTCCTTGTTACTAATTTCACCCCATCTCCCCACCATCAACTAGCAAAAACTATTCTGCTGAAAATGAATTTAGCTTAGGCACACCTGTGTTGAAGACATAAATGTCTTGCTGGAGTAGGAAATAAGCCATTTTTCCTCCAGCTCTTAGTTCAGAGTGGTCATAATGAAATTAGAATCCTGCCTACAAGGAATCTGAATTGAAAAGGCTATGCCTGAATCAAAAGTTATTCAGAAAGGCTTCAGACCTATCATGAAGGCAGCACTTCGCTCTTATTAAAACAGCCTGGTTTTTTCAGACTTCTACACAAACCTTGAAAAAGTGCCATTGCTTTAAGAGTTGTGTTAAATTCTGGGACTGAATTCCTTGAAGCAGCACCATCTGCTTACTTTACTGATTTATAGTTGGAGGCCACAAAAACACTTCAAAGACAGGCTGTTTTAATAAAACACAGAGTTCTGCACTCACATAAGTTGTGGAACACTTCTGAATTAGTGGGGTCCTTGGTGTTCTCTGAGCTTGATTGTTTTCTTGCAGACATTTCATTACCCAACTAGGTAATATCATCTGCAAGAAAACAGCCAAGCTCAGAGAGCACCAAGGACCACACAGTCCAACTGTGTTGAGCTACAAATACTCTATTTTATTGGTGCTTTTGAATCTTTTCCAACCCAGTCTTATTCAGAATCATCTTATCTTCTATTTTTCTCCTCTTCTAACCTTCCTCTTAGGAATAATAATAATAATAATAATAATAATAATAATAATAATAATAATAATAATAATAATAATAATAATAATAATAATAAAAACAACTTTATTACGGTCATAGACCAGCAATAGCCATCACTTTTTACAATATATTAAATAATAATAATAATAGTAAAAATAGTACTAACATTAATAGTAAATAATAACATCCCTGTTAAGAAAATACATGTTCTCAAAATGTTAGGGTCACTCCCTAGTTTACGTGAGTGGATAGCCGATTAATGTGTGAGTAAATATAATG